CAAAATATCAAAGCTCAGAATATACAGTTGATGAACAAACCCATTGATTATATTTCAAGATAATGTATTTTTTATATAGTTGTAAATATTATCATGAGTAAGTAGCACACTCGTAGCACACATTGGTTTATAACTTGTACTATATATATATAAACGAGAGTTGACTAGGTACCCCTCGGTACCCAACGCTCAAATTTTCAGGAGTACTATTTTATAAGGTGATCTTCCAAATACAATCAGTTTTCGAATACATCAGGGCCCGCCAACCCTATTTTTGAGCCATTGAATATGACGTCACAAAAACGCATGATGGGGTACATATAACATTGACTATTTCGACTCGAGATTTGACTAGATACCCCTGGAAACCCAGCACTGAACTTTTCAGGAGCACTATTTTATAATGTAATCTTCGATAAAGGGTGATACGGTCAAAATTTGGTCAAGGGAAAACGCGTGTAAATCGGTGAAATCGTTTATTTAAAAAATCAAATTAAATTTCTTTTTCAAGTTCAATTAGTATAAAATTCAGGAAAAATATTCAGTTAGGCTTCCGCTTTTCCAAATCCGAATTGCCGGGCCTTACGCTTGACCCCTGCCATCAGATTTTGTACAGCCACCTTGTCCACCTTCTTCGCCGCAGAAAGCCAGTTTGCCTTGAACTGCTGCTCGCCCTTAGCAGTTTTTTTGGTCTTCTTTAGGTTCCGCTTGACAATAGCCCAGTATTTCTCAATTGGGCGGAGCTCTGGCGTGTTGGGAGGGTTCTTGTCCTTGGGAACCACCTGCACGTTGTTGGCGGCGTACCACTCCATGGCCTTTTTACCGTAATGGCAAGATGCCAAATCCGGCCAAAACAGTACGGAACAACCGTGTTTCTTCAGGAAAGGCAGCAGACGTTTATTCAAACACTCTTTCACGTAAATTTCTTGGTTGACAGTCCCGGAAGCTGCTTTTCAAGCCACAGGTACAGATGGCTTGCCAAACCAGATATTTCTTTGCGAACTTTGACAGTTTCATGTGCTTGAAAACATCTGCTACCTTTCTCCTTCCTTTTGCCGTATAAAACTCCTGTCCCGGAAGCTGCTTGTAGTCGGCTTTGACGTAGGTTTCGTCGTCCATTACCACGCAGTCAAACTTCGTCAGCATCGTCGTGTACAGCCTCCGGGATCGCGCTTTGGCCGTCGTATTTTGTTTATCATCGCGATTTGGAGTCACTACCTTCTTGTAAGTCGATAGTCCGGCTCGTTTTTTGGCTCGATGCACGGTTGTAGACGATACACCCAGCTTATTTGCGGCATCTCGGAGAGAGAGGTTAGGATTTCGCTTGAAACTACCGGCAACTCTCTTTGTCGTCTCAGCGGCTTCCGGTTTTCGATTTCCCCCCGATCCAGACTTCCTGGCTGTCGACAAACGTTCCCCAAACACTTTAATTACATTTGTAACGGTTGATTTGGCAACTTTTAGCGATTTTGCCAACTTTGCGTGCGAGTAGCTCGGATTTTCGCGATGCGCGAGCAAAATTTTGATACGCTGCTCTTCTTGCTTGGACGGCATTTTGACAACTGAAGAGTGAATTCCAAAATCAAAATAGGAGCAACATTCTACACACACACACCTTCAAAATGAGGGGTGTTCAGGTTTTTTTAAATGCAAAATTGAAAGAAATACGTCAAGTTGATATTGACCAAATTTTGACCGTATCACCCTTTATTCAATCGGTTTTAATCCCTGCCAGGGGCCACCTCCCATCTTTTCGGGCCGTCCAATACGGCGTCACAAAACCGTCCGATGGGATGTATATAATATTGACATTTTCGAATCGAGATTTGACTAGGTACCCCTCAGTACCCAACGCTGAAATTTTCAGAAGTACTATTTTATAAGGTAATCTTCAAAATACAACCAGTTTTAGAACCCGGCAAAGCCCGCCCACCCTCTTTTCGAGCCGTTGAATATGACGTCACAAAAACGCTTGATGGGCTGTATATCACATTGATGTCAATGAAAAGCATTGGTGTATTCAGCAAAGTTGTATATTTTAATGATGCCAACAATTTTTTAGAACATGATAAATTGATCAAATTTGAATAAAGCACTAATTAACTCAAAAAACCAATATTAAGGTAGTCTTAAAGGAAATCTATTATAGCTCTACAGAGTTATGATGTAGAAATTTGGTGTCTTTAGCAAATGTTCATAAAATCAACTGCTCTGCAATTTTGTTCAAGACATGGAACCATTATCTCGTAACTGGAAAAAGTTAGAATTTGGATGTGTAATACTAGCTTAAAGATTATTCAGGTGTGTATTTCAAAAGATGCGAGATATAATTTTGAGCAACTTCTCCCAAGACAGCCAGTCTCTAAAACGTCGAAAAAGGGTAGAAAATATTTTTGACCGTCTTTATTCATATTCGTGCCACTGTGCGACGTAGTCGAAGATGGTGATCAAATAATCAAATTATCAAACATGGCTATATTTCTAAGGGGGGAAGTACAATTAGAATTTTATTTTTTCGAAAAAAATTTTGTTGGCTTAATTTACTCTATATGTATCTGGGAATGAGCCTTTAAAAGCATAAAGCCGTCCGGAACTTATTTAAAAAGTTATACGCAATTCAGTGAGTGCATGTCAAATGGCTGAACATGTCAAAGTTGAACTTTAAATGCTTCTACTGAAAAGTAGTGTTTTCAAAATCGCCGTGCAATGTACAAGTCAGAGTTTTCATTCAAATCGATTCCGGTTTTCTGTTTTATGTTCATAACTAAATTCTCTTCTTTCTTCTTCTTCGCATTTCAAGCTTATTGCATATCGCATATTAGCTTATAGCGTGCTCTCAACTTAGTGTTCTAGATGCACTTCCACAGTTATTAATTGAGAGCTTTCGATGCCTGTACCATTTTTGCATTGGTATAATTGTGTGGCAAGTCCAATCATACTTCTATGCCCAGGGAAGTCGAGAAGTTTTCCAACCCGAAAAATTCCTAGACCGGACCGGGAATTGAACCCAGCCACCTCCAGCATGGTCTTGCTTTGTAGCTGCGCCTTTACCGACTGAGCTAAGGAAGGCCCAACTAAATTCTCCACAACATGAATAGAAAGATTTTTTAGATTTGTTTGTTATAACATGTTTTTTTTTTATAAACAAAGTCGAAAAAAATAAGGTTTTTTAATTTTTTTTTCAACTTCAAATTTTTTTGTGAAAAAAACATTATTTTTACATACGAATTAATTCATGTTGGGCGCTGTACCTTCAAATTTAATGTCCTGTTTTTTTTTGTTTCAGACGTGATCATGGACGTAGGGACTGCACGGCGCGAAGTGCTGCTTTAAAAAATTGACTTCACATTATTTATAATAATATGGCTAAATTGCAAAATTTTAAAAAAATGTCACTGATAATTAATTTTCATTAAATCCTTAATAACATACATAAAGAATCGCTAACATTCATTTATTTCCCTACTCGCAATCCACTCTCAAAGATAGGCCTCATTTTAGGCCTTCTAATTGTACTTCCCCCCTTAAGTGCGCAAACTTGATTTTCAATGGATCACCTTCTTTAGTTTAAGTTTCGCTGCTGTTTATGGGTAATTCGTCAATTTCAATGCTCATTCTTTAGAAATTCAACGGTATATTTTTACAATTGTGTTGCTAAATTTTACATAAAATTAGATTCATATTGATATTTTTTATGGTTCATTCACACTTTTTAAAGGATTTTCTCCGATGTTTTATGGACCATTTGGATGTTTTTATGGAACGTTTTCCAATATTTTATGAATCATTTATTGGTTTTTATATTCAAAAATATGTTTGCTCTTCTAAAATGCTTATAGAAATGTCTATAAAAGCTTCTAAAGAAGGGTACGTCATAGTGGATGGCATCCATACTTCTCACGCTAAGGTCACGAGTTCAGATATCATCCCGGGACAAGTCACGAAGGACGATTAGAGTAACTTGCAACATAGATTAGTCCTATTGGCCATCAGTTTTGCAATTCTTGATTTGTAGAAATTCAAATGGGGCGTTTTATATATACCTAATACCCTACTATTGTTGTTTGCATTATTTAACGATCGCATTTTTGAGCGGGTGATTTCAAATTGCAACCAAATTTAGCGTAACGTGTGTTAAACTAATTACAAAAAATCAATCTCCAAAAATGAGCGGTTTTTTTGCAAGCGAATAAAACAAAACACTTCACTCTAATAGATTCGGGTTTTAATTGGTATTTCAAGGTCCTCTTTCCCGTAATGTATTAATATTTTAAAAATATCCCGGAAATTGTTGACCAAAATCAGTTTTCTATAGTGTGTTTATTGCACGTGCACTCAGAGCACCAGCGTGAGTACTGGAAGGTTAAAAATAAGATGGTTTTGAAATGTTTGTACTCTACCTGAATAACGACAAAATTTAAAAAAAAAACCGCGTTTGAACAGATTTCACAGACAATTCAAATAGGACTGACTACTTATCAATTTGAATAATAGTCCTTTTATCAAACACTTCACACACGAAAGCTTTCCCACACGGTAACCGAAAAAAGGAACAAACTGCAAACAAAATAAGCAACCATTGCGTATGAATTTCAGCACCAACAGCAGAAATCAAAGACTAAACAAATATTGTCAACAAGTGGCAATAAACCGCCAACAGCTGACACGACGACCTGAATACAAACTGCTCGCTAAAACAAATGACCACTGGACCGACCGCGATATGCGATATGGGATATGCGATGGGAGCGCGAGGGTACCCGCCCCGCAGTCTATGCGGTATGATCGCAAATATCAAACATTACAAACATTTCGTAAGCAAATCAGCCGGCTGCGACTTCGATCGTCATCGGTTCGAAGGCATCATATTTTTGCGACTCAGCAAAATTGCCAATTGATCGAAGGTCGAATCGATTGCGAAGCAATCCACGCCGGCCAGTGGACATCAACGGGGGAAAATGCAAACCAATTAAACATTGATATTCATCAAACGAACTTACATATTCGAGAAGGTCGTGTTTACTCCGGGGACAACGATGTAGTCAGACGACGAGGAACCTTCAAGTTTGACTTAGCCGACACACCAAAATAGATGTTTCCACACAACCTTGGCTCCTTTTCTACCTTAGAGATTTCAATATCGATTCACAAAGGCACTTAGCGGCTATTAAGATTGCAGGCAGCATTTTCTTCGCACTCAAAACAAAAAACTGTTACTCTTTATTCTTCATTTGACACATTTTTCCTCGAATTTGATTCCACTATTTATGATGACACCAACACTCGCTTTCGGCGAAGCAGTAATTTTACAGCAGCATCCACCCTCGCAATAAATTTCTTCCTCTACTATAGCTCCATAACACACAACACTTTCGAGATTTCTTCCGATTCCACACGTTCTGCTTCACATCCGTCGCGTGTTTTTCATTTCGTTTTCTTTACGCTAAAAATATCTGCTTATCATCATTAACATCACCATCATCATCATCATCTTCTTCGGCGGCAGCACAGAAGCACCGTCATCATTTTATCTTTCATTTCCACACATTAGCAAGATGACGATCACATTAGGTATTCTGCCTGGTGATGGTGATGTTGTTGTTGTTGTTGTTGTTGATTGAGATCGACACTTGCTGAAAGCAGGAATATCCGGGTTAAATCAGATCCGAATCCAATCGGTTATAAAATTTCCACGATCTCGCACCAAACGAAAACAAGCAGCTGGGGATAAGGGCGCACCTTTTTCATGAATTGGGCCCGACCAAACCACATTCATTCAAAAGACTTTAAAATATGATTTTGGTCCATAAACTGCGGAGACAGTCTTTGTGCTTCCTCTGCGTAGACTTTATTTGCATTAAACTCTCCCCCACCATCAACCGCACCGTCGGCGAAACTTATGGACAGTCTCAAAGTAGATTCTTGAAATTTAAAAATGCCATAATGGACGTTAGCCATAATATTATTTCCGAATGTGGACGTTCAGCAGCAATTTAAAAATTGTGTTATCTGCAGGGAATCAAAATCAACGATTCAGATAGAGATAATGGCAATCTCATTTTGGTTACACTCATGATTAGTACAAGTCCATAAATCACAATGGACAGTTCTGGAAACGATAATGCGATTATCATTTGTGTAACAGCTCCTGATCATATGAAATAGCGAAAATCTCTGATCATCATCATCAGCTGTCGTCACTGAAAATTTCCCATTTTTCGGAATGGGGGACTTATGGAGATCGGAAATTTATGTTTGCCGCCATTTTGAAATCGAATGTGGGGGCCTTCTATTTAAAAAACAAAACTGTCGAAAATTGATGTCCGGCGCCATTGGAAAATCCAAGATGATGGTCATCGATTTCAGAAAAACTGTCAATTACCCTGCAATATTGGTATCTTCGGAACAGTAGATGTAGAAAATTAATATATGCCGCTATTTGGGAATCCAAGATGGCGTCTATTGGTTTAAGAAACAACTGTTCCTTACGATATGGGTATTTTTTAAACCGAGATGACGTGTAGACCAAGGTGACTACATATAGGTGGTCTAATGTGTCAAATTAATGATTCAGCCATGTTGAATTTTCGTATGGGACAGCGACCGAGTTTGTTTTTTTTCAAATTGTACTAACCCCCCCCCCCCCCGCGATCTCCTCGCCCATATAGTGACAAAGCTGTATCACCCATAATGGTGTAGATGTCGAAAATCGATATCGGCTGCCATTTTGACTAGTTTATTTCACAATTTTATCTAAAACCAAAAACCGCCAAATTGGATTCTAAAATGGTGGTGGACATCGATTTCGACATCTACACGTTATTCCAGTTCCGGCAATACCCATATTGTAGGGTATTGGACAGTTTTTTTCCGAAACCAACGCGGCTGACATGACGGATTTCAAAATGACGCCCTACATTGATTTTCAATATATATGTGTCATCCCGATTCCAAAAATATCCATTTTGTAGGGTATTTGACCTCTAGAACAACTGAAATTTCTCATGAAAGTCATCTTCTAGAGACTTTAGAAACTCTTTAAGACAAATGTTTTTAGTGAAATTTGTTTTCTGTATCTCTTCTAATAAAAAAGATATACCCGAATATAGTAAAAAATATGAATAAATTCAAATTGATTTTATACGAGTTTAAAAAATAACATAACTCAATTTTTTCCATATTATTGAGAATAACATACGCCTTTTCAAATGCCGCAGAAAAACTTTTTTTTTTGTTTGACCCAACCAGAGATATTAACATTTGAAAAGTGCATATTTTTAGTATAAAAACGTCAATAACTCTTGATCGGCGAAAATATTGACAAGCTTTGTGCGGCAAAAATTTGCGCCTTCTTAAGACCTAAAAGATCACCTTTGCTGAGAAATTCGAAATAAGAAAACTAGAGCAAAACAACTGTTTTTTTAGAGCCACCCTAACTCAATTCAAGAAAATAGCCTTAAATCGGCCAATTTAAGAAATACAAAAAAGTTGTTTTCTACAAAGTTGCTTAAAATTAGCTCAACTATAACTTTGCCGAAAAATGTATACCTTAATTTATTCAAACAAATAAGTTAGATTTTTGATTTTAATGATAATAGGAACCACCCTAGAATTCATTGTCATAAAAATGAGGGCATAACTATAAGGAACAACTTTGTAGAAGACTAAAGTCTAAAGTTTCAATTTCCGGCTCAAAACATATGCATTCTGGACCACTGTGCACTGATCATAATCCGTTTACTAGTACAAACGGATTATGATCAGCAACAATTTTATGTATTGAGAAGCTGCTAAAGCTCAACTAGCCCTAGTGAAACCATCATAAGTCAACTTATGCAGCGTTGTGCTATAAAGTAGCTGAAACAAAGTTGCTGATACATCTACAAGCAGAAGCAAACAAAATAGCTTTGGAAAGCGTTTACCAGTGGCGTCGCGTCCACATGTGCAACCTGTGCACGACACAGGTGTAAATAATTTAAAAAAATGCGTTTGGATTTTAATAGATTTTAATGGTCACATTATAGCTGTACTGACCACAAGTGACCATGAATACACTATTTTATAGTGTGGTTCAATTAAATCTTCGACCTTGGTTTGCTTCAAAAAGGGTTAAATTCAGTTCGGATGGTCTGCCTAATCCCTAATGCATTGATTTCTAAGCATGTCAATAACACTACCATGACAAATAGTGCACCTAAAAACGAGCTTTTTTAGGTGGCGGGTGGCAAGTTTGTGAATGGCTCAAATGCCTGATGTAAGCCAAGCAGACCTTCTATCACCTCTTGAAACATACCACAAATTTTAAAGAATACATGGCGGTTTGCACCACTGGCTGTAATCCCAAGTAACATTGCAAGTTTAATCGTGGTTTTATAGCATTCCACAAGTCTAAATCATGGTCTACAGGACCCTCATAAAACCCAAATTGTTACTTGAAGCTTTCAGCAGTTACGCGTCAAACGGGAGCAACACAGAAACAGCAGTCTGGTACGCTTTGGACGTTATCATACTTGCAGACCGGTTTGAATGTGTGAGTTTAAATTAGAAGAACATTGGGTGCCCACAGTGTGCATTTCTCGCTGTGCACTTGGATATCTGATTGTATACAAAGAGCGTAATGGAGAAAGAGAGTAATGGAGAAAGAGAGCGCAAAAGCCGCTCTCACTATCTTGTCAGTTGTGAATCTCTCAATTACCGATAGTTGCACCAGTGCGCCTGTCAAAACTTATGAACTTCCCCTGGTTTATTCTGATAGTGTTGTTCTGATGAATAAAGAGTTGATAAATTCAAGTTTGCTACCCAGGGGACTATGAATTTTCTCTAGATTTTGACACTGTTTTGTATCAAAAAATGTTTTCGGAACTGTTTGACGGATATTCTTTATTAAACTTCAATCGAAAGAGTTAGCCTTGTGGTAAAAACGAGAATTGAAGCTGAACATTGCATTAGGTCCTAAGTAACATTGACAGATTATCTCCGGCGACTTTCTCTTTGTATCTCCACGGCCATGTAAAGACATTCCCAGGTATTTTCAGCACACCGATCGATAAAAGAAGCTTTTACCTAGCATCAAATACGACAAACACAACAAGAAATGGTTATGTGCTCAAGTTATTAACGAAATAGAAAGACGAAAACGAAGAGAATCGGTCAATATTACTTAGAACCTAATGCAATGTTCAGCTGGAATTAGTTAAGTTTTGCAATTCTTCCTACTTCGGTTAGCGCGAAAAGGGCCATTCAAGTTTTCTTTATACAAGATGATAGGCCATTCAAATGTTACGTTAGGTAGTGATTACTCAAGTAACATTGCAAGCTTTAAAGAGGTTTTATAGCATTCTAAAAACCTAAATCGTAGTTTATAGAACCCTCATAAAACCGAAATTGTTACCTGGGTAATATAGTAATGGAGAATATGTCCCTTGAATTCATGGAGCATTGAAAAATAAAACAAAAACTAATATGTGGTGGAATACTATAACGAACAAAGCTTGGTGCACAGGTAAACAAATGAGGCACGCGACGCCTCTGGCGTTAACTCAACTTTTTCACAACCATTATTCAATTTGTCAGTCGCACTGAATAACGTCAGCCAATAAACGCTAATGTCACTTATATGCGAATATTAATCATTTTTCAACTTGTAGCTGCAAAACAAAGCTGATAAAGGGAATATATTACTCATTTGATGACACAACCATCCACTCTTACTGAATAACATAAACATCAAAAGCGCTTTTCAACAACTAAACAACCTGTACTCAAATAATAAACTATGTTAGCGCTACTTTGGAAGCTATTTTACAGTCAACTAGGTTTATTTTTAGACTTGTGCAGTTTTACAGCTTTTACTCTGCTTCTTTACAAAGCTGAATTAACTAGTCGAGAAAAGTGATACATGTGCACTATTATAAAGCCTCTACTCAGCTATCTTGTTGTAGAAGGGCATGTAAATTTGTTTACGTCAGTTCAAAATGTTGGCGTAGCGAAGTTGGTAGTATCAAGGTTCGCCAATGCGGTCGTCTCGAGTTCGATTCCAGGTTCCGGTAACGTGTAAATTATTTGGTGGTGTGCTTATAACTAATTTCGATTAATTTGATTCGCAGTAAAATAAACTTGATAAATTCCTCCAAAACAAACAAAAAAAGCGTAAACAATACAGCAGTTCCATTTCAAATAACGATTTTTTTGTAAATTTTTTGTTCGACCTTCTACGATTATGTTGAAACTTTGCACAGTTGTTTGTTATTGACCAACATGCCATTTTACATATTTGGTTCCCTAATTTTGTACACGACTAACACTTGAAAAGGGCTTATGCAAAAATGATACGCATCAATAGAAAAACATATATCTTGCGAACGATTTGTTTAATTGAGATGGTGTCTTAGAAGAAGTTGCGTACAAGTATTGTGCCTTTCAAGAAAAAATATACACGGTAAAAATTAATTTTTTTTTTACAAAAAAATCAAAATTATCAAATAAAATTAAAATTACTAAAATTGCATATTTTTTTTAAACATTTTTTAATATTTATTTTGTAGTTTAGGTAAATTATTACCTACTGACACTGTGCATTTGCTGAAAAAATCATAAACAAAAAAGTAATGAATTATTGAAAAAATAAGTACTT